TCTTTCAAAAAGAGTACCCCCCTGACACCCATTGCTTGATGCTCCAATGGTCTTTTCTGGACAGGTTTACCATGCTGACTCCAGCCCCAAACAGCTGCAAGGCCAGGTATGCCCCCCTCCCTTCGAACTCTTTCCCAGGCTAAAGGAGTGTTAACGATGTGATTAAGCTAATGAATAGGGGAAGTGCCCAGACAAACACACAGAATAATATTAGAGAGTGAAATTTATTAGTTCATGCTGTAGAGATGGTGAGTAGAGGAGATGGCACTGAAGTAACTTAGAGCCTTTTGCTGTGATGAGCTGCCATGATCCTTCCAGCATCATCAAACACTTTCTTTAGAAGCCACTGATGAAGGAACTTCTTGAAGCCATTGTAAAAGTCCAAATAAATTGTATTAACTGGTTCCCATTTATCCATTTTATGTCCATGCTCATGACTCAGTACAAAACTGATTCAGCTTTTCCTGCTTTGATTAAAAAAATAAAAGCATTTTTAAAGCTGGGGACATTCCTTCTTTATCAACCTATTAATTAAATGGCAACTGGGGCTTTTGAAACCTGACATCCAAGGCTTGTAAATAACATTGAGCTTGCTGCTTCTCACTTAGTAATAACAAGGTACTGGCAACAGTTTTTCAGTTATGGCCCTTGCTACCAAATCCCCTTTTTGTCAGAGTGTAAAGAAGGGGCTAATAATAGACCTTATGGCATCCTGATAAACCTCTGTTTTAGCAATTCTGGGGACATCTCCTTAGATTTATGCCAGTATCAGTAGTTTGACACAAGAAATGTAACATCATGTACAGCACGTAAGACTTCAGTGTGATTTTGCTGTTTTGTCTAAAAGACTAAGGCCAAATTTCTGCTTTCAGTTGCAGTGACATAATTATGTTGTCAACTGCTCCAAGGTTACCATCCTATTTTTGTCCTCTGTCTTGTTGTTTCTCTGTACCTTACCTTGATCTCTTGTGTCATTTGCTGAAGATTTCTTCATGTCTCTTCCATAATCAAATATTTATTTCTTAACTACCACTCCATGTTATGACCGTTTCAACATCTCAATTGCAAGTAACCAATTCACAGTACCAGCCGATCCCTCTTGGCTGTTTATCTAAGAGCTGGTGGTCTCAGCCCAACTCACAGTCCACCTGGTAAAACAAGCAACACCCAAGCACAGCTGAACCTAATAGTTAATTAAAAAGTAACCAGCCCTGTGCTGATTAATCATCATTTACTGTAAAGCTCAGCACAGAGGATGAGATTTAAACCCACAGGGGCTATGTCTTGGATCCAGTATGGGCAAAAGCATCCTATTGACCAGGATGAGAGGGGCTGTGGTAACACACATGTATCCTAAGCCCTGTGCGGTGTTTTGCAGACAGGCTTCTAGCCTTGTGCTCACCTAGTCCTGGGCTGTTGCATGGGGCAACTTGTCCAGCATCAGTGCCTGCCTGTGTAGTAGCAGCACCTTCACCTTCTCTACATGATTAAGGGTCACCTGGCATCTACGCTGAAGGGAAAAGCTTCACCTCAGTGACCTTCCCCGGGGCACCTGCTTCCTTCATGGCGCAGAACCCACCGGAGCTCTCTGAAGAGGCTGATATGGTGAAGAGAGGAGCCCTCCACCATGCAGGTCAGTGTTCAGGCAGGACAGCGACGGGGCAGCCCAGCAGGCTCCGAGACAGAGGAATGGCCATCCTCCACTTGCTCCCACCCCTCTCCCTCTTTGCACAGCTGCCTGGTACATCCACGTACGCTTTTGTGGACGGGCTTTCTGAAACCTCAGCCACAAAGCAAACTATTTCATCAGACACACTTGGCTACCAAGTCCAAAACCACCCCAAGCCCTGAAGAGTAGCGCCTGGTGCTGAGGCCACAGAAGTATGACTAACAGGGAGCTGAGAAACTCTGGGAGCCTGTGACAGCACAGCTGTAAGGTAATTGTTAATTGTGCCGTTATTAACATGAATGCTCCAGTTTCTCTCTCCCATGATTTGTCCAGTGTCTCCCAATGACTGCTGCAAAATGAACAAGCTGGCTCCTTACAGGAGGCAGCTCCCGAGACAGACTGTCCCTAAGTCACCTTTCCCTCCCTCCTCCACATTAATACAGTCAGCAGCAGAAGGCTGGCTCCTATCCTACAAACACATTTTCAGGAGAAAAAAAAAAAAATTAAAAATTGCCTTTTTGTCATCTTTGAAAAGAGCAACAAAACATAACAAACCTATTATCCTGATTAAGTTTTACTAGTGAATAAGGGAGCTGTTACAACATGACCTCATTAGCTGGAACAACAATCTTCCTATAAACAGGTATGTCTTTCTCTTGGTCATCAATTACTAGGATTTCCCAAAAGACTGGAGATGCTGAAAAGAAATTCTTGTTTAACATCTTAATCCCAGCTTATTTTTACCCTTGGGTTTGAATTCCCAAAAGCTAGCTGCTAATGCTTCAGCACTACTGCACGTTAGCAGCCAGTGCCTGGAAAGCCGCCTTCCTGATGCCACTCAGGCAACTCTCACACCACTTTACGATGCCTTTCACAAATAAAAAGAATACAGGATTAGTTTTCAGTATTTAGAGATTCTCCTGAAGTCTCAACAAAAAAGGATTCTAATGAAACATTATCACCCCCTTAAAGGTATGGTACTGACACCAAAATGATGAGGGTTTTATTTCAAATTTGTTTCCTCAAGATGAGTACTCATCATTGGTATATTCTTTGTGGAAAAGTTGCAAAAAAGTTGCCATGCCAAGATGGCAAGCTGTCAAGTAAAATAGATCAAATACTGTATTTGCTAACGTACTTTCTTATTCCATTTGTGAAACTTTTTTAAAGTGTCGAACACTTGAAAAAAGAGGCAAACCCCAGATGTACATACTCCATTTCAAAAATTGACTATGAGTATCCACAGGAATGCATTCAGTTCAGCCACCTCTCCAAAAGCTGTCAGGAAAATGCAGTATAAGATGGGCTCTTAAATAACTTATGGGAGCCAGCAGTTGTCCCAGCAAGTGAAGCGTTAGTATTCATGAACGTGCATCCAGGATGGGACAAACTGCCCTCAGCGCTTGCCATCTCCTGGTAACTCACTGTCTTCAGAGCCACTCTCAGACAAACCGTTTTGCAGGGCTGTGAACTGCACCAGGGAACTGTTTAAAGTAAGGTAAAAAGGGGTAAAGGAGTTTTAAATGAGACCAAATCCTCGCCCCAGTTCACCAGTTTCACTACCAAGTGGGCCAACACCCAAGGCATGGGAACATCCCAGCACAGGGGTAGGAGGAAGCTCCAGGCCACAGAAACTCCTTCACACCAGTACAGAGACAGGCTCCCGTATCACCAAACCCACCTGATCTGCTAGCGTGACCTCCTAGGCAGGATTTCTAGCATTGGCTTAGGAGGCTCCCTTCTAAAGCAAGGAAGATTTTGCCAGGGCAGAAAACTCTCACGCACAAGCTCTCTAAGGGCAATCACACACCAACTTTGCGCCTGTATCTCAGAGCACTAACTGAAAGCACTGAACAGGCATTTTTATACACTACTTTGGAAATCGGTGAGTTACAATTAGTAATCAACATTAAAAATGTAACAATGGTATATACATTTCAAACTTTAAAGTATGCTTATCTTAGGAACAAACCCAGGTAGTTGATATAAAAATTATGAGGGTCTCAGACTACAGTTCGGCCCACCAACCATCAAAGCACTTTGCTATTAACCACAGTAGGGGCAGAAAAATTCTTGCATAGCTAAGGCTCTGGCACAAAACTCTTGCTGCTTCTTTAAACAGTAGCTGCACTGCATCATGTTCTCTCCCTAAGTAGCTATCTCACTTCAGCTTCCTCAGAGGTCAGCTATTCATCTCTCCTAAGTACATCAGTGTAGAGAGAAAATTACTTAATCCTATTTTGTGTGCTTATTTTCATACACACAGCCACAATTCTCCCACCTCGAGCCTAGGCCATACAAGAAAAATCCTTGTTTGCCTCTACTGCTGTCTCTGCTGTACAGCAAACAGATGTTCACAAGAACTTTCCTGTGCCTGGCTCTTAAGTCTTGTGTCCTAGGTCAGAGGTACGCAAAACTAATATAAATCCTTACTTAAAATACGAAGCAAGAAACTGCATGGATTTGCAGGTCTACTAACTGATTTCGGGACTTTATTTACTACCCGAGTTACAGCCTCTGAGAAATAGAGGAATTGGGAATACGATAAAAAATTGGCTAAAATTACATGCCTCCTTTACTCAAGTTTATTTCATTTTGGTGTATTTACATAAGCCTCCCAGACAAGAGCTCCCTCAAAGTTTATCACAGGATAGATGTTTTCTTCTTGCATTTGGGCTTACCTACCCCTCCACAGAACAGTCTTCCTGCAGTCCTAGCACATGCTTACAAAAACTAATCTCTGCTTTTAGCTCTTTTTAAATTAGGCTTAGCTTCCTGGAAGAAGAAAAAAAGAAAGTGACACTTCCATGCTGTCCATAAGCAATCATAAAGAGGAAAATACAAACCAACCAATCCCATCCATGGTGCAAGATATGAGACCACAGGTATTTGCAGCTGCACCCCCTGGTTTTGTACACTGCAACACTGCTTTGATGATCATGGGGCTAGGCAGGCTTAGGCTCATCTGTCTGCCAAGTTCAACTCTGTTTTCCTTCGAAAAAAACCTTATCCCTGCTAAAATCTCACCAGCCAGAGAGGCTGTTGTAAATAGGAAGCAGAGATATTTAGGTCGCTCAGTAAAAAATGCAAACCCGTGGCTCCTACCCCAGCACATTTAACAGATTCTAATTCTCACAACTGTCAAGTTGAAGCAAATTCAACTCTTATTCAATACACTTGTGTTCTTGCCTTTGCCTGCTCCCTTATGTAGGCTTACAGAACAGTGACCGCATTAATACTTGGGCATATTTTTTGTCCTAGATTAGAGGAAAAAGTTGCCTTTGATAAAAGAAGGTGAGCTTGCTACACCTGAAAGTGAAGCAATCCAAAGTTATTTATCACAGCATAAATCTTTACTGACCAGTGAGTTTTTCAATACACAAGAATAACAGTTGCGGATTGATTTTGTTTCTGTATAGAAGACACCCCCAACCTCTGCTTTCTTGAATAACATCTTCTGTTTCTTGTTGGGCAGAGTACTGAAATATAAAATTTAATACCATATGAACAATTTCAACAGAATACTTAGTAAAAGGGAGTAAAAAATTTAATACATTTTAAAAAAGCAACATCAAAAGGTGCATTAGGAATAAAATCCAGGTCCATCCAATCATCTAGTCTGCAATATCACTTATTCATTTTCTCCTGTAACAAAGAGGTGCACGTTCTTCTTGGACTGTAGCATCTGAGCTGTGCGATCTATGCCAACCACTGCGGCCAATTTCTGAGCATCATACTTGGAGTAGAGCACAGTACAGGTCCAGGTAGCATCCACACCACTGTCTGTGGCCTTCAACATATTACAAATCTCACTGTAGAAGTGGGAGTACGTTGGTAACTCATAGAAAATGAGGTTCCTAATGCCTTTTATCGTATACCTGTAGTAGGAAAACCCAAAAAAGTAACTGTTGTCAATTTTTATAAAACATGCATGTTAAAACATCAATTCTGTAGCAGTTCTTAAAATTTCAATCACCTTCAATGCATGCCAGTTGTAGCTCAACACAAGAAACTCTGTGTTATGGACCACAGACTAAACACAGATGTGGAATTTAAGGGGGGAGATATCTAACACTGCCAGGCAGTGACTTCCTCTAAAGTACAGAGCACCACCAACTCCTGCAGTATTCAGCCTCTTTAGCTTGGATTTTAAGACAATGAAGCCTGATCAGACCAAGCCTCATGGAACTTTCTGTATTTGCCAAAACATCTTCTGCTAATAGAAAAAACCCTGTTCCATTAGGAACTTCTAAACAGCTCCAGTCAGGATGTAGCAAATTTTCCAGGTGGCCTCAGCGTGCTGTATTACACTACTGAACCAATTACGTATCCTTTTCCAGAATTTTATGCAATTATTGTGGCACAGATGAACATAAATAAAAGGCACAATGAATTGCATTTTGCAGGCTATATGATTCTGTCCTGACATCAGTGGAACTTGGCAGCACTTGCCTTCCTGAACAAAGCCCTGCGCATGCCAAAGTATTAGAGTCTCTGCAAGGGACTGCTGACAACATACAAAAATTTTTAACTGAAAAGCTCTTACTTCAGTGAGAGAAGTCCTCAGAGAAAGACAACAGATTCAAAAAGCAATATAGCCCACCTATGATTAAGGTCAGACTCTACTTCTAAAACACCACACATGCAACTCAAGAGGAAAACTTGGTCCACAATTCACCTTTTGTAAAAGTGGAAGCGCTCAGTGAACAATAAAAACTGCTTCTCTCCCTTGAGAAAGAACCGTCTTGCTCTGCAGACAGCAGCCTTCTTAGTGTATTCACAAATGTAAGTAAAATTCAGCTGCTCTTTCTTGAAGTAGTTTCGAAGCCGCACATAGTCAAAATACGATGGAACATAAATGAGCGTGTGTGACATGATGGCATCACGGTACTCAGGCAAAACTTTGTCGATGAAAAACTGAAACCTTAGTTAAGAAAACAAATATGTTTTAATCAGAGTTAACATTTAGCTTTTCAATACTGATATGACCTCAAACAGGAATATCACCAGACAACAGAAGATTTTGACTACATTTTTTCCTTCTTTCACTTACAGGATTTCTACACATGTGGAAGATAAAAGGCAAAGGCTTTATCTCTCCTAAACAGTTATGGTAGAGACTGGTATTCCCTTTCCAGACTTTATTCTCCAGTGCCTCTGGCAAAGAGAAGGTCAGTCCTGCTCACCACCTGTGCAGAGCCTAGCCTGATCTGAGAACTAATGGAGGTGTACTTCTGTGGTGAAATCACAGTGTCCTCTGCAGGAAATGGTATGCTCAACTAAATCTGAAATTGCAGTCATTAGGGCAGAGCAAAATAGTCTGGAACACAGAGTACCTTGTATCTACTACAGAAGTTAAATTTTCAGCTTCTAGCCTCCGAAAAACATGAGGAAGCTGGACCATAACGTGGCTAATGGAGCCACTGAGCGGTACGTTGCGGACAGCCACCTGCGGAAAGAAAGCAGGATGTTTAGGGAAGCAGCATTTCAAAGGCAGCCACACTCCAGCCAGCTTTCTGCTCATAACTCACATCTGCAAGCAGTGCACAGGGCTGCTTTTAAGAAAGCTGCAATACAAAACTACATTCACATATACACATACCAGATCTGTTAAATGTACATGACCACTGCTTATGTCCTGACTCCACATATTTGAAATGGACAACTAACATTTTTATATCGCCTGCTTCTTTCAAAGTAATAACAGTTTGTGCTTCTTATACAGTAGGAGGAAAAAAAAAAAAAAAAAAAGGAAGCAGGCAAACTCTCCATTTAACAACAAAATAAATAGAACAAGATAACTTGTATGTGTCAAATTAAGAAAAAACAAAATCTGATTTCTGACATGAAACAGCTACCCATGAAAGAAAAGGATCAAATAAGTACTGCTGCAAGAAGAGCAGTTCTTCATGCCTTTGGCACAGCATTAGAAATTGTCATGCAGTGTCACGGAGATTCAGACTGCAATACTTGGGTAATGGAAATGACTGGCACACAGACAGTCTTTCTGCAACTGAGTTATGGAATTTTTCCACGTGTTGGGTTTTCAGTTCCTCTCCCCCTCCCTTATGCCAGCATTTAAAAGATGGCTTTTCGGCCCCTCTGCGAACTCACCTGCCCCACGTAATTGAAGCAGTGTTTGTTGAAGACAGAGTTAATGTGGGGATCCTGGAGAGCACTGAACAGCAGTGTCTGGCGATAGTACTTGGACCAGTTATTGAGATTCAGCATTCGCACTCGGGAAAAGTCTACCCCATGGGAATCCAGAGGCAGCAGGTTAATGTGCTTCATCAGGTGCTACACAGACAGATGGAAACACATCATTACTGACTGACATCCCTGCGCCCAGACTGCAAGAGCCTTAACTGCAGCGAGGAAGTGGGCAGGGATGAGCAGATAGCACAGAATATAGAACAGCAGCCATCTCCCAAGACACAACTGTCTAGAATTTATTGACCACAACACAAGTCATTTACTTGATTTCTTGCCACAGAACTGAAAGCTATCATCTCTTTAGCCATCTGTAAGAGTAACCTTTGCTTCCAATCTTCTCCCACAGGCAAGTACAATGGATTTGTTTGTTTGTCTTAAAGTCAACAGGCCCAAGGTTTCTGAGCTAAAAGAAGCCCAAGTGCAGTTCTCATCACATTCAGGAAGAGTTTGGGTGCAAGTGAAGAAATTCACTTTGTTTTGGCCTCTCTGAATGATGCCTACGACTGGCATCAGTGCCACCCCATGACAGGCAGTTGAACCCAAAGGAAAAAACAAGCATCAGGCACCAGGACTCATTCCTTGGATATCACCTAGACTCAAGAACCTTTCCCAGAACTCCCCAGGAAATAAGACACCTTTGGAGCGCATTCAAAAGGTACTGTAATAATGTGCTGTCAAAATGCCTGGCCCAGGTACCTCAAAGGTGTTTCTATATGGAAAAAACCCCAACCTTTCAATCTTGAAAACATTAACAAAAAGCCAAAAAGCATAGGTACTACTGCATACTAGCCACCATCCAAGAGCTCAATTTTCATTACACATACAGGAAAATCTTTGTACTGCTTAACTTCGGACATGAATAGTGCTTAGTATCTCTGCAGTCAGTGGAGACAAGCACCAGCTCCTATTGCTTTCTGGAGGAACCCAAATTAGGTTGTACAGATCCCTCGCATGGCTGCAGTCTGACTGGGACACTGGGCACTCAGACAGCTGGCATATTTTCTCTCAGATGTGATTACAGGAATCATCATTATCTTGTCCCGCAAGATAATAAAAACCGTTCAAAAAAAAAAAAATCTCTGATGAAATATGCCACTAAAGCACCAAGATTTATACAGAACAGGTGCTGAACACTGCCAAAATCTGTAGAAAGAATATTCTTAGTATAAGGAAAATACCAGGGCAGAGGGAGGAAAAGGAACAAGCATACATGTCTGGAATCAAGTCAGTAAAAACCCAATACTGCTCACTGCCAAAACCAAGTTATATCAGACTAACAAGACAGAGTACAACACAAAAATGCATACGGAAAACGCACCAGAACGTGTTCCCAGTTCTGCATCAGGTAAATATCTGCTTGATCAATGATGAGAATTTCTATTGATGACAGAAAATCAAAATCTCTCTTCTTCTCCCCCTCTGCACCAATAATAGTCCTCATACCCAGGGGAGAGGCAATGATGATATCTGATGAGTAAAATGGTGCATAAAGTCTCATACTCTTCTGAAGAATTGCAACCCCTGTCCAACAACAACCAACAGCATTTTCTTAGTTAGGGTTAATTATCAACCATATTCTTCCAACAGGCTCTGTAATACTAACTCCGTTCATCTCCTCTCCCTTAACATAAGCTAATGATTACAGCTGGACAAAACCAGTCTGTCTGAAATTCACTCTTTCCCTGAAAAGTGCTTACCCACCCCATCCCCATTTGACAAGCGTTTGGCAGATTTTCATCAAGTTCGGCAAACTCTTTTAGTAGTGCTTTTTTCCAGATTTTTCACAGCCTGGACAACAGTTTTTAACTGAAACATATTTTTTGTTATTTTCTGCTAAAAAGGGGGATGAGGGGGCTGAAGAACTTAAGGAAACAAAAAAAGGGCAGAAACGATTAACTATGATGAACTACTTCCTTCCCCCTAAATTCTAGGCTTTGGTCTCTGTCATTAGGTAGTGTAGTTACTGTTACCTTAGTCTCTCATGAAAGATCCAGTGTGGACCTCTTGACTATAAACTGCCTTTAATCACAGGGCCACAAGAGTTGCTACTAGAACACAAAGGAAAAAGTTCTTCGTGTGATGATGACTAAACGCATAACCAGCCTTGCACCTTCCCTGGCATGGCTTTGGACACTGCATACTGCAATATACCTGTCGAACTAGCTTATGCATCACCTCTCATGGTAAAGAAAGAAAAAGGAAGGAATCAAAGGTATTTGTTATCCATGTTGTAGCTACACAGCAACACTGCTAGGACCCACAGTTTTCTGATCTTAAAAATCCAGGTAGTCCAGACCCATTACTGCCTGCTCAACAAAAGTGTCTCCAACTTCTCTCCCTCTCTGTGTGAATCCAGCTATCACAGGCACAGCTGAAGGCACTTGCAAGAATTTCGCACAGATATCAACAGGGACCCCTCCTGTTATCTATTTTAACCCAATGACAAAAATGGGAAGAAAAGGAAAGGCACAACTGTCTGAATTTCCAGGAAGAAGATATCACTTGTCACAGCATATACAGTTTAACAACATCAAGTCTTTTTTCTGTTTAAAAAAGTGAAAGGGTGGTTTTAATAAGGCATAGCAAATGCGCTTTAAATTAGATCTTTGTGCACAAGTAACAGGATGTGAGGCACAGTAAGAAAGAATTATTCTGCTTTTATGGTTTGCTTCTGCAAGTAACAGCACTGAAAGTTTCTTTAAGCATTTCTTCACACCTAGTAAGAGGGTCAAGCAGATTGTGGTATGGGAGAGGACTAAAAGGAAAATTATTATGTTATGGAAAGTAAGATGCTCTCAGTCAGAGAGATATTCACTGGGTGAGGAAGAAAGACTGAGAGAGACCTGCTTGCATCTTCCACTATACCGTTAAATCTCTTGGGATGCCAATTTATCTTTCAAGAGGCAATAATTTCAAAGGCCTCTGATCTGTCAAATTAAGTCAGAAAAACTGCCTACTCATCACTGGCAGCTCCAGGAACCAAGCCACTAGCTAATTCTTTGCATACTGAGTTACTAAACCAGCATGTGATTACAATATTATGAAATTGTCTCAATTTTGCTGCTTGTCCAACAGTCCTACTTGCTGGCTACCCCTCTGCTTTCATGGAAACCATGGGCAGCACAGTAGAAAACTGCTTTGCTCAGTACTGAGCTTTAATTTTGTTCCAACCACTACTGATTACAAGAGACATTGTGAATAGACTAATTAAACCCAGAAGATTTGTTTTTAATAACATGAAAGACTTTACTGCATCTTCAAGACTATCCTCTTTAAAATGAGGTGTGGGTAGTCCTGCCACAATAAAATAATCATTACATTTTAGGTGATTCTGAACTTGAGGTGAAAATCATTACTTCTGTATTTTGTCTTCCTTTTTAAGTTCTGGCAAGGCAAGAAAGATTCTCAGAAAAATCCAAGTTGCCAGTGCAAAATCGGCATAAATGCCACAGAGCCTAGAGACTCACCAGAACTTCCAGCCCTGATAGCTCCTAGACATTTAGGAAGGAGTCATTACTTCTCAGTTCTTTACAAGCTAAAAATCACCTGTTCAGTAGGTCATTACCAATTCTGAAGTGGTCATCAATGTTGCCAGCAAAGACGGCTTCATAATCTTCAGGTCTTTTCAGGTTGGGAGGCTTCTCTTCCGGGTCAGAGCCAAACTCCCCTTTGAAGCGCTTTTTATTACTCACATCTATTTTTCTTTTGTCATTGACTTCAAGAAGACTGATTAAAATATGCACAATTCGCAAAGCACATTCCCTGAAGGGCACTATCATCAGTACCTGCGTAGATCAACAGTTACAACAGAATAACCCATAAAATACGAACACTCACAGTTAACTGTACGTTAAGTAATTTTTTTAACTTAGATCTGCCCTCGTGGGCACTTCTGAGTGTGCATACGAACAGGCACTGGCCAGCAGCTCAGTTTGGTTTCCCACCTCACACCCAGGGCACCATTACAGGGGAATTGAAAACTAAGCATGTTCTCCTGTTCTGCCTAACACCTGAGCAAGCAAGAGCTCCCACAATACAGACAGGGTCCACCACTGGCTCCTGGGTGGGTGGCAACAGCCTCTGCTTGGCACTCTGAAATATAAATATCTAACTGGGGAGTCAACACAGAAACCAAAGGCATTTGCCAGGCATGCCGCAAACACTGAAACCAAACTTTGAAACTGTTCAGCAGGTAGTTGGCATCACCAGTGATATGCCAGCCCTACTTGAAGCCACCTGGTTATGAACTAGAGGATGCTGTGAATCCAGGGAGGCTTGGCTGGAGGCCCACTCCACTATGATGGGCGGCCTTGACAATGGGACTGGGATTCCCTGAGGTCTCCCAGGTACAGAAAGATCCTCCCACACAAGCAGGTCCTCCCAAGTGTCTAAGAACAAAAAAACTTCTAGGACATCCCACACTGGGTGATGGCTTCCACCACCTGCACTAACACTGAAGAGTGATGCAGAGGCACCTTTCTGCACTGGTAGATTTAGAAATGGAAGCAGGAGGAGGCAACATGCGAGTCTGTAGTGATAGGGGGACAAAGAAAAAGAGAAGACAAAACTCATGGTTCAGCACAGAAACAGGCTGGCTAACGACCCTGTGCTCACTGCTTCTCAGAGGGTATTGGCCCTGACCGCTGCAGGCAACTTCCAGGCACAACAAAGGGGTGTGGAAAGGCACGTACCCAGGAGCACGGCGCCCGAGAGTGCAGCAACAGAAGTACTTCTGGATAAACTATCAGGGTGTTTATACAGACTGAACGGACAGCCAGGGTGGGGATGGGGGAATCACATTAACAAAGATCTCTTACCTTAGGCCTAGTGAGCCCCTGATCCCTGTAGTCCTCGCTGTCAGTCCCTGGCTTTTGGTCTCTCCGTTTGGCATTGTTGCTGAGCACCTGGGCATTTGCCTTCAGAACATGGTTCAAGGCGTGCAAGCAGTAAGCATGCCGGATTTCTTCTCCATTTGTTAAAGCACTTCTTTCTGGATAGAACAAGTCCCGGTATGTATTCATGATACAGAATAGCTCTCTTTGTAATGGGGTGAAAGAGGGATCGCTTGGTTTGTTCACCGAGGAGAGAAATTGTTTATTCACTTTCGGCCAAGTGGATTCTAAAGGCTTGTGAAGATAAAGCTGTTTCGCAGCAACTTCTTTGTCTGCTTTCAATGTTTTATTTGTCTCCACAGTGGAAGAAAAAGTTAGTTGGCCTAGCCTTGCCCACTGAAAAAAAACAAATGAAACAAACCAACCAAAAATCAAAACAAACTCCAAAAATAACCAAAGAGGAATTGTAAGTACCAAACTCAGTACACTTAAAAGCACATCACCACAGCTGGCAGTTTAATCAAGTTTGTGAAATCTGAGAAATTACCTTTTCATAATACAAAGTAAAACCTTTTTTTCAATATGCAATCTCTTTTAGAGTCTGCCATGGTAAGTAACAATAAACTTGAGCTCAGTAGATCTGGATGCATTTTGCAGCAACGTGTGTATAACTGTCCTCATTTTACAGATGAGAAAATCAAGGAAGAGGAAGGATGTAATTTCTGCCTAACCCATCTGTCAGATCAGTGGCACAAACCAGGGACAAGTTGAGAACCCTGGAGTTCAACTACACTTATAGATCAGTTGCACTGAGGTACGTACTCTGTTTAACAATGGAAACAAAACCCCATTAGGGATTAAACCCAGAAGCTGTCAATCAGCTGCTTAATGCAATCTTGTTGGGAGTCTGTCTGATTTTGAGGGCAAAAGCTGTCAGTGTAGTAGGGTAAAACTCTAAAATTTAAGCCTTCTGCCATGTAAGTTGTCCCTATCTATCTCCATAAAGTAGCTACACCAAATTAAGCAAAGATATATCATGCATTGCTTCAGGTGGCACTGGTATTTTTGGCCATCATATTCCAAAAAAGAAAAAAAAAAAAAAAAAATTAAAAAAATCTCAGCTTCTCTTTGACTGACTAACCATTGGGTATCTTCCAATGAATGTCACCCAGCATATGGCTGACCAGAATGCAAGGCAACTCTCCAAAACAAAATCAGATGTGTAAATGTTAGGAAGCAAAGGTTTGTCTAAAAATGAGTATTTTGAAAACCAATATTCTCTCTCAAGCAATGAGGTGGTTTTCCAGTACTGTAATTCACCTATTATTGCCAGTATTAAAGTCCCCTTCACCAGCTTGTGTGTACAGACACACAGCCATCTTGAAGCAAGGATGTGTAAGTGCATCACAAATACTTTTAAGACTGTACATGGTCATCTCACAAGTTCAGCTGCAGACCACATCCCCGGCGTGGTGCTGTCACCATTCAGAAGCCAGACCTACTTCTACCCAGTGTCAAGAATACCAAACCTGTGAGTTTGGGACTATGGATCAAACTCTAAAGCTGTTTGTCAGATGTGTCGCCATATGCCTACATAACAGCAGACTTTAGACTTCTTCACTAAGTGAAGAAGAAAACACTTCAGCAACAACACAGCGACAAACTCTTGACAATTCCAGTGCCATAATAACAATTATTGCATCTGCTTCACTTGTATAAAGAAAGTATTATTTTAATCCAGACTTTTAGAACTCTGGATGACTACAGAACATCATTACCTTGCTCTGAGTCGAAGTTTTAGGAAGTGTAGACAGTTTTTCTACTTCTTTTTCTTCAAGTTCTTTGTCCATGTGCTGTTTAAATGGATCTATTTATAACAAGAACAACAAATATCGTGAGAACTATTGTAGCTAACACTGGAATCAAGTTTCAGAATGGATTTGCAAATAAGACAGTTTTCCATGCTGGCCAACACCATGGTTAGAATTAGTTATTTCAAAGCACTTGGAGATGAGAGAAACGATGTCAAATTGTCTTTACAAGAAGAGAGATAACAGATTTGACAGATTGCTTTAAAAAAGAAAAAGAAGCACTTTTGGAAGTACTAGAACCTTCAATCACAAAAGAAACGTTGGACAGGAAAGCAGTATGTAGTAGAAAACATTGTGGCAATTTTCTGCCTTAAGCTTTGAGACACCTATTCCTCACAGGTGAAATAGGCTTTCAATAGCAAAGACCCAAATGAACTTACTACCCTTCTTAATTTATAAACAGTTCTATCCCGGGCTTTGCATCTATTGCCAGTGATATGAACAGTTTAGGATAAAGCAGAGAAAGATTAGGTGGGTTTTGGGGAAGGGAGGCAAAAATTACCTGAAGTGAGCAAAAGTCTGATTTATCTAATCAGCATTTCTCTTTGGAAAGGAAAGGACAAGCAAGGAACTGAAAAATCATATTATATTCAAAGACACTGGCATACACAAAGTCACATGCAAAGCTTATTTTGAAAACCAAGCCCTGTATACTGCTTGCAGCACAGCAGCACTCACTGCATAAAGAAAACTAATTAGAGAACACTAGTGCTTGCCAACACGTATCTAGCCCACATACAAATTATCCAGGCAAAAGTCAAGACATTTGCTGATCATGACACTGTTGAGAAAATCTTCCCAGCAACGCAAATGAACAGGGTATCATTTAATTGTTATATAGGCTCTCTCTTCAGTTGAGTTTTACTGATTCCAGCATTTGTCAGATAAAGCAGAGGGAGTAATATGAAGTATCTTCAAGCGTTCTAGTGACCTCAGGACCAGAGTAGAAATTCATCCCCCTTCTGCTATCTTAGGTGACTCATTTTCTGTAATAGATGATAAAGCCACTTTCAAGCTATAGGAACCCACCAAAAAGTAGCTGAACAAAGCTGTTAGGCTACTTAGTATGCGGTTGGAGAGCTACGGTTCTCATTAAAATGCAATGCCAACAGCTTAAGTAATATTCTCATGGTAACAAGAACGAGCTGTTTTTTCTATCACATGGCCCTTTGATGCTTCCACACATTTCATGTATCAACTAGGCTGCCTCCCAGATCTAATGTCAGCTGCTGCTCCAAGATGACAAGCCAGCATCACTAGGGATGCTACAAACATATTTCTCTCTCTCTCAAACTATGCCATCTGATATTAAAACCACAGAGCATGAAATATGAATAGAAGCTCTGCAAGTGCCAATGTGTGGCATATCACTGAACGATCACACGCCCGTGCACACAGTTATTTGTATTACACGTGGTGGGACGACTCCAACACCAGAGCTCAGATTGCACCCATCAGCGCACTGCAGTACTGAGATTCTGGGCTACACCCTTAGAAGATACCACACAGATGCTTCACTGATGCCTTTTACCTTCCTGATCCTGGTGCAGTGCGACTCCTCTGCATAACCTTCAAAATTCAGAGAGCCCCAGGCATTTGTCTAAATTACCGTGGCTGCCCCAAGCTTCCCAGAAGCTCACCTCTAACTTCACTGAGTTGTGAAGGATGCCCTCACAGGTCAGCTTTGTGATTATCTCCTGTGCTGTCTGTGCCGAGAATGTCTTCCATAGTCAAGTACAGGCTTGCAGGGCCCTTCATATTACATTAGCTTTTTAAAGTACTATTAAAGCAACAGAACAGGGTAACACTCTCCACACACATTTCTAGCTCCTGATATTTCAAGCTTTATCGGACATAATGGAAACCATGCACAAACCCCAGCCCACAGGGGCTATAGAAAACAAATGGTTCATCTCTATGTCTGCATTAGCGTTAAGTGTCCCTTATGGAACCAGCTCACTTGTGGGCAATACAATGATTAAAGTAGTGGAAGAACTCAGAAGCTATATAGTGTATCATTAGGGTGTTTGATAATACAGACATTTACAGATACTCTAGAGGCAGATCGCTAAACACAAACATACTGTGTTTTACCTTCTGAAGAAGCTTGTGAAGAATTGCTGTCTCTCTTATCTGCATTGCAATCTCCACTCTCCTCTTCCATGAAATTGGTTTCCAAGCTAAATTCAGATTCATGTTTCACATCAGTAAACTCCTCAATTACTCCATGACTTGGGTCACAAGAGGTATCTGCGCCATCAGCCTGCTCCTGGTCAAGCGTCTGCTCTGCTGTGTCTGTAGCTGTGAATTGTTATAGAGAGAAATGGGTTATATTCTCCTGTCTGTAGCTATCTCTTGCTAGCTAGGTTGTTCCCTCTGAGTTACCAATTTTTCTTCTCCCAATACTCTCACCCAGAAAGATAAAAGTGGGCTTTGTATTCTACATTAAAGATGACTTTTGGCTACTGTGCCAAACATTACATAATGTGTTTCCCCAGAGAAAACCAAAGAAATAACCTATTTGGGGAATATAAGTTTTAGTTTCCAAAGACTCCAAATAGCTGAAAATAATAAAAAGTTGACTCCTCTCTCCCAGAATTTATTTGCAGACTTCATGAATGAGGATGCCTCGTCATAAAGGAGGAGGTTTCCTTCCAATTTACATATTCTTCCCTCTGCTGTGAGGCAAACCTTTCCCTCCTCTCGGTGGCAGCAGCCAAGCCAGATGCTGTGCGAGAGAACAGCTTGCGTCTCCCAAGAGTGGGTGAGAAACCCCTGGTATGCTGCTCCATGTGGATTTCCTCTGTGCTGCCGCACAAACAACATCTGAGGAAGCAGCAGCGGGCTGTCTGCCGGAAAATGAACACAGCTACCCTCTCCCCTGCTAAATCCTTCAGCAGCTGCTGCTCCCACCCACACAGAGGCAATGGAGCAACAGAGCCTCCAAGCCAGAAGAGCACCCAGCCAACAAGCCAGTCTACACCACGATCCTGGCTAAAAACATATGTTATTCAAACTTTCTAACTGAAACAACATTTACCAAAGCATGGGAAAAGACAAACTACCTTGTTCCTGCTCTGGTACACCATTCTTATCCTCTTCACCCCCCTCTCCTTCTCCGCTGTCCTGGGACCCTTCTCTGTCCATTTCTGTCTCACTTTCCCCAGGTTCTTCTGGCTCACTTTCATCTTCCTCTTCCTCACTCTCAGACTCAGGAGAGGTCTTCAGGGTAGCCAGAAGCTTACGATACACAGAGACCTGTTCCACTTCAGTCTCCGAATCGCTTTCTGCACTTGATTTATCAGAGTTCTCAGACTGGAAGGGAAGACACGAGTGTAACAGCAACACCAGTAACGGTCTATGAGGCAGCAGGCAAATACTCTCACCACTACTTCCAATGTTATGTCCTCCCTCTCCCATCCTACCCTTATAGAGATACAATGAGATTTTTCAAAAATCATCTTTTTAGGCAAATAGTTATGCTGGACACCTCCATTCGGATTTTGAAAGCATCTTTCTAGACTTAGGTTGAAGTGCCTCATTCTTCACTGGTTTGTCTCAGAGCATCACAACATTTGGTTCTTTCATTCTCAGCTGAGTGAGTATATTTGATCTCCAGAGACAAGGCATTTACTGAACTGGCACTGGATTTTCCCAAGAAAACCACACAAAGAGCAAAAATTGTGGAAGGGCGCACAAAAAAGGGACAGAGCACACTGAAAATACTCTGGCTTTCAAGAAGATAAGTTGACAATAGTCCACTGGGGAATGGGTCAGGTTTGCCTCAGCTGTGAAGTTCCAAGTTTCAAACAAGCCAGACTCAGAGGCAGTTCTGTCCCGGACTTGCACAAACTAATGACAGTGTGCCAGGTTATAGCCAAAATTATAGTGAAACCAGGAGTATAAGCACAGCACTATTTACTCCTTTCAGCACAAAGAGGAAACATCAGTAAATACAATATTAATGCACAAAATTGCTAAAGGAGACAAATGAACCACTATAATTAGTTTTTACACACTGTAACTTTGGAAGTCTTTTATTAACCTGATGATAAAGGGCATTACCAAATCCTGAGTGAAAGAAAAGTAAAGCACTGGCAATCTGAAGGAGAGGAATGAGCATTAACAAATTTCTTTATTCAACAGAGAACAGAATATCTCCTAACACATGCAACATGAAATGCCTTATTAAAAGAACTTAAAGCATGATTTACTTTTCACTGTGACAAAGTAATAAGCAAAACCCCAAGAACAGCTATGTTACTTCCTGCTGCTTCTGCCCTCTCATGGTATCACAGTTTTGAGCACTGTATAGAACAATTCAGAGCTACACTAAACTCACATTCATTTTCTTTTCCTCCTAAATGCAGGTTTTCTAAAGACAACAACTTAATCAGTCTGAATAACTTGGCAACATGAAATACTAAATGTTTCACTTCACTGAACTAAACATAGGTGAAATTAAGGAATAAATAAAAACATATTACCAGTTCACAGATTTGAGTTGCTTCTGGTCTTCCAGAAACCCTGAAAAGAAAGCACTTGAATATTTTACTCTGTCAGAGAAAAAGATGAGGGGGAAAAGGAACTGATGATTCAATTTTAACTTCTCAGAGAGCTTAAAAGGAAGCTTAAAACCAAAGCATCACACAGTTCTCCCTAAGAATGTAGGCTCGGCATTTATCCTGAGAGGTGTAGCAGCAGATGATGCTACATGCTGTATGTGAAGCCAAAGTGCTCAAGCATTAGAACTGACCAAGTGAAATGTTTTAAAGTAGAATCTGGCTTTAATCAGAAGAAGAGGTGTTAAAAGGAAACCAAGGGTAGTTTGTACAACAAAGTTAACAAGGGCAGGAGCCGACCTCTAGAACTAAATACTGTTCTGTGAAGAGGGAAAAAGACACATACTACAAAATAAACAGAGTTAATTAACCGGTGTTGGGACTGCAGTTCTGCAAACAAGACACTGTACAATCTGGGCATAAATTAAACTCAACTTTTTCAAAAAGATGTGAAGCCTTGAGTGGGACAGAGCATCACTGCACAGGGTAAGGCACAGGGCACAGCTCCTTGGCAGGCCAGGACTCTTGTCCTCCACCTCAACTAACACACACCAGGAGGGTCACAGGGTACACACAAATATAACCTGCTAATAAAGGCATATAGTGTTAGACTGAACAGGTGACCTGACAGCGCCTTCCTCACAGGCTTCTAAGACTTTACAGCAGCACCAAATCACAGAGCATTTGGAGTAAGAAGCTCATTCCTCACAAGTTTACATGGGGGTCCAAAAGTACTGTCCCTTTTTGACAGGCATCCTTCTGAGGAAGACAGGGCTCGTTACACAGGATCTTCAGTGCTATACTTCCACTGCCTTTGCAAGATCAGAAAAGGGCATGGAACAAACAGTAGGAAAGCTGGAGCCCTGACAGGCCAAGGGACTGACCTAGTGCCAAAACAGGAGTCTAACTCGCACTCCTCGCTTTTCCACTTCTCCCGACAGCTCCCGGGCTACACACCAAAACTTTACGACATTTGTTGAAAGCAAACCTGAACCCAGATTTTCTGCTTTCTCTTCTTCCGAGACTTCAAGCCGACGAGCGGCAGTGCAAAGCGCAGATGTAACTCCCCTCCTTCTCTCAGAGGCCCGGGGCAAGTATGAGAGGGAGCAGCCGCCGCCCAGCCTGTCTGGAGCCCCTGGGCAGCCGGTCCCGCGGCTCCCACAGCCGCCCAGCGCTCCTGGGGCGGACCCCCC